CCAAACCTGCAAGTTCATAAAAACTACTGACAAGCACAACCAAAGAAACTTTAAAATTTCTAAAGAAATCACTTGCACAACACAAATTTACTTTATACGGTATAAAAATATAAATTATCAGTATGTAGGACAAACATAAACAACTCATAAACATAAACAAACATAAACATTTCAACAATCATAATTCTTCTATTAACACCGAAAAAGATCTCCCTGTTACTCAACCCTTCAACCAACCAATGTTACTCTCATTGGCATTGAAACATGATTCAAAACTAAAGCTGATAGCGAGATACAAGAAGCTTGTCGGATTGTTAATATAAATACTGTTCTATCTAGTGGAATAAATCTAGATCCTGTCAGAAAAATAATTCTAATATTTTCCATGTAGTATGAACTCTCAATGTTTACGCCTAATCTTTCTAATACTTGCTGAACTTTAGTTGTTGTTGTTTTTATTTATTTGCAAATTACTTCACACAAAAAACGCTTAAACCCTGTAATTTCCTAAAAAAATGAACATTACACTAAATACAATTTCTGTGGACTTTCTCTACTTATTCAAGTCTAAAATACGCATCTCGTTCAAAACCATATGCTTATCACTTTGTGAACACGCAGTCAGACGTTTCTGCATATTCAGCTACGTTTGCCTTCATTACAACTTTACAATTACTTTAATTTGTAATAATTTAGCTTTGGTCCGTTTCATAGGCTGCTTTAAACAACTTTTAGTTACTTTTTTCTTTACTACAGTTTTATTATTCGTTTTTGTGAGTGTTTTTTTGTTTAAACTCGTAAAACCAAGTCATACATTGAACGCTTATAACTGTTTCGTACACTGTATATTATTACAAGTACAATTACTTTACGTGTAGTTTTATTAAATAAAATTACGTCTACGTGAGTTTGTTTGTCTGTCTACTTAAATTTGCTTCCAAATAGACCAATATTTATCGATCTAACACATAATGCCTGCAAGAAAGCGTAGCTTAAATTGCATGTGTGAAAATGACAGAATAAGGGCAATTCATGCGAAGGGCATGAAAACTACCTCAAATGTTTTGCGAGTCGTGGTTAGTTATGTTGATATTAAGCTACTGATAGCGACTGTGTTTACTAATATCACGTGTTATGGAGGGGGTATAATCATCAAAATTCGGAATTAACGTGGATTGTGGGCTCAGGTTCTCGTGGGTGTTACACATTAACTGATTATCAGTTGTTTGTGTTTTTATGTGTGACCTGGTGGACAAATTGAGATGGATTATCACCAAAATGTTTGTTACTTCAATTACTCCCATCCAAAATTATACGTTTTGTAGATTGTCCCTTAAATTGTTTTATTATTGTCATTTTTAGTTGATAACAGCACACACACACACATTTATATGTAATTTGTATGTAATTGGCTCTTTTATTCAAGACATTATAATCTGATTAAGACCGGGATGTTGTCATGGTGACTAGTTTGGTCGAACATTGATTTACCATATCAAACTGTTGACTTAAAACAAAAAACAAAAAATATATCGTTTGTTTGTAAATAAGCACAAAGGTACACAATGGGCTGCTCGTGCCATGCCCACCACGGGTATCAAAATCCGGTTTTTTTCTCTTATAAGTACGCAGACTTACCGCTGTCCAACACTAGGGGGCAGCACATATTTTTTTAAATTATACAATTGGATATAAATCTGTAAAGAATTCTCTATTTCTACCATCAATGTTTGTATATAAGAATTTTAATTAAGTGTTCTGTCTTAAAATTATTGCACGTAAACATAGTAGTCATTGTATCACTTTTATTATATTATGTTATATTACTAGATTGGTATTTTCAGACCAAATGAAAGATTATTAGCGACTTGACCTCCTTGTTCTCAAGAATGGTATGTTATTTGACGTAGAATTAAAGGAACAGGTTAATAAAATACCCATGAGGTTTGTTCACTATTATATTATAGGAAAGAAAAACACGATTCTCAGAACAATGCTTCTCAACTTACTCGTCTGATTTTATCCCATTCAGATCACTTGCCAGAAAGTCTGAGTACGGACCGTTGTTCACTACATGCACTGCACCTCCAGAGTTTGGAACCTTGCCAGCGTGAATAGCTGCACGACATACTGAGGAAAGTTCGTGATATATGGCTGTACCCCATACAGTACCAGCAGTTAAGGAACAGCCAGCAGGACAGTGGATCCTATAAAAAAAAATATACAGTTTCAGAAAGGTACTGGACAAGGAATTAACAGTAAAATAGAACAGTGAACCAGACAACTAATTAAGTGTAACATACAACAATGTACCGGTCAATGAATTAAGTGTAACATACAACAGTGTACCGGTCAATGAATTAAGTGTAACATACAACAGTGTACCGGTCAATGATTTAACTGTAACATACAACAGTGTACCGGTCAATGATTTAACTGTAACATACAACAGTGTACCGAACAACGAATTAAGTGTAACGTACAACAATGAACCGGACAATGAATTAACTAAAATGGAAGAGATTCAGCTTAGGAAAAATTTGTTAACAACATCCATCAAATCACAGCCTATTGAACAAATCGTTATTGTACTAAAGAAAAGTCAGGTTACTGTAACGTCAGTAGGACACACTGGTTTAAAAAAACAAAAAAAAACATTATGCTTATGACTTCACTAATACGATTATCACCAGGGTAAAGGACTTGTTGCGAAAAAAGTTAAGCAACTTATCAGTATTATTTTAATGGGTTCTATCGTTGGGTAGGTTCCTTTTGGATTATTTGGTAAAAATAATGCGCAGTCTAGTCTAGTTAATGAAATGTATTAATTTATTTCTTCAACAACGTTTGCTGCAGGCTACGTTCACTTTGACACAAGTTGTAGGTCTTAATTCACAAACACTTTCCAACATAGACTCCGAGACTACTGTAGGCCTAACACACTAATAATGTTTAATAGAAATATTCTTGATCGATAACAAATGCTAACTAATTTACTAATTAGCTTACATAAACACCAACTCCAACTGAATAACTGTATTCGATCAATCTTTCTCGATCATTCACGCACTGAATAATCTGGTTCTCACTCACAACTCAATAATTCACCGATTACTCGTGTTTGTAGATATTAATAGAAGTTTCACGATCTTAACGCCATTCAGCGAATATCTAAAGTAAAACATTGAAAATATAAGTAAACGACAGCACGTTCCTTGAAGTATGTAGATAATACAATGTGATCTACTTTTATATTAAACAACAACAATATCTTTATGATTACCTGACAGCTTCGCCAACATCATCCAAGAAGTCCACAGCTTTACTGTCACAGTTGACCTCTCTGTCTGCCACTAATTAGAAGTGAAACATCTGACATCAGTTACGATATCATTACTAGACATGCTGCTTTTTATTGTTAACAAATCACTGACATCGGTCATAATATCATGTATGCTGCTATTTGTCTTAAACATCTGACATCAGTTACGATATCATTACTACACATGCTGTATTTTATTGTTAACAAATCACTGACATCAGTTACGATATCATTACTACACATGCTGCTTTTTATTGTTAACAAATCACTGACATCGGTCATAATATCATGTATGCTGCTATTTTTGTTAAACATCTGACATCAGTTACGATATCATTACTACACATGCTGTATTTTATT